CTACAATGCCGGCTGTTCTGACTCACAGACTGTAAGTAAGTTTTTTATATATAAAGAATTTGCCACTGATGATTCAAACGCGAGTTTTGAGCAGTGTAGAGTAGCGCTTGTTGTTTGTTATTTCTCCGATCACGGAGCAATGCAATGCAAAGCGTAAAAAGACAGTGTAAGTCATTATAATCCGTAATTATGTCCCCACTGGATGCAACAAATGCCTCGTTTATATTGGGTTTTAATGTTTTTGTCTCCCGTCGCTTCGGCCGGGACAAGGCATCACAATATGGCAAGGGGCGTAACATTTCTGTCACACGCTTGAGGTATTTGGCCAATCACAACGCACTGGACAGCTGGCCAATCAGAGCACACCCCACTTTTCAGACCGATGAGCTTTGTAAAAATCGACGCGTTTCAGAAAGGCGGGGCATAGAGGAGAAAAAATAATGTACAGTATGTGGAAAATAATGGGTTTTTTTAACCTTAAACCGCATAAACACATTTCATTACACCAAATACACAAAATAATGTTCTTTTTAGCAACATCATATGACCCCTTTAAAAATGTTTTGCCTTTGTAGGGGAGTAAAGCATGCTCACTCGAATGAACTGAGACTGCAATTCTCAAATGTCCCAGTGACACCCCACTCACACTATTAACCAGTGCTGTTAGCAGCTTAGTAAAAAAAATGCAACCATTTACAACATCAACGTGTATGATGTGTAGTGTTTTAAAATGTGTTCAGAGTTGTGTAGTGTATTCCAACCTTTAATTGGAAGATCATTCAAGCATAGACATTTCATTGAGGGGGAAAAATCACCACTGAAATTACTTTCTGATACTACAACTCATTAATATCTTCAATACTCTAAAACTCTCATATATTCCTACTTCTCAAAGACCACCTGTGCTGATGATTGAGTGCCAGTGTGTGGACTAGCAGTTTGGACATTGTCCTAAAAACATTGATTCGATTTCCCAATTCTTTGGTACTGGGGTGTCTTTCAATTCTGCAGCCTTTGCAAAACTATTCATCTACAACTTAAAATATCTGAACAAAGTACAGATGAAGTGATATTGAAGAGAAAGTGCATGGGTTTGAAGCTGATGCGGAGTAAAACATTTCTTTAATCAATACAAACAATCAAGGTGATTTATCTAAAAGATAAAAAAAAAAAAAAAAACCTTCCCACACTGACCTTCATCTTATGCAATACCATGACAAGCAACTAAATGCAAAAAAATCAGTCTGTGAATCTGACTGAATCAAGGTACACCGATGTTGATAAAACATGTTTATTCTCTCCACTCACAAATTAGACCAATAAATAGGGTCTGCACTCAACCACCAGCACTAGACTCCTGACTTTGAAAAGAGCCAGATGAGCTTCCTTCACCTTACAGAGGTCAAAACTTCCAGAAGACACTCCAACTGAAACAGCAGCTGCTCTTCAACTGCTCTTCTTTTTCCAGCAACTAAAAATGAGGTTTCTGCTCTTCTCTGAATGGCTTGTGGACTGGGCTCGTGGCACATACTGGTACCTGTTTGGCAGGAGAAGTGGACTGTGCAAGGAGACCATAAGCCTTCCAAGCCCACTAGCTACAGATGAAAAGAAAAAGAACAGAGTGCTTCAAAAAGATAAGCAAGCTTTCGATCAAAGAGACTGAATTGTAAAACAACTTGAATGCAAACATACAGTATAATACTGACTAATTCTCCATTTCTTACCCTAGAGTATTTGATGAGTTTGAGGTGCCCAGAAACCTGGACGTTATTGTGATTGGCAGTGGTATTGGTGGTTTGACAGCAGCGGCAGTTTTAGCCAAACTAGGAAAGAAAGTCCTGGTGTTGGAGCAAGACAAGCAGGCAGGAGGCCTGTGTGAGACCTTCACTGAAAAAGGCTTCGAGTTTGACTGTGGTAAGATAACCTCAGCAATGTTCATGGAGCTGTATAAATGATTGCTTGATGAAATGCTGAATGCATTTTAATAATTGCATGATCTATTTTTGTCTTAAAGGCTTCCATTACGTTGGACAACTTCATGAAAACGGCTTCCTGAAAGTTGTGTTGGATCTGATCACTGATGGCCAGGTGCATTATGCTGAGCAGGGTTTCCATGTGGACACAGTTGTTATTGGTAAAGGCAAACAACGTAAAGAATACACTATCTACAGTGGCAAGAAGCAGATGGAGGCTCATCTTAAGAAGCAGTTTCCCAATGATACCAAGGCAGTAGAGGAGCTGTTCAAAATCATGAAGGTATTTATAATTTTGTTGAGGTTTTTGTAAATACCAGACTTTGCAGAGTATGGCCTTTAAATGCCCTATGAATTATATATGAATGTCTCCATATTTTCCTAATAGATCTGTTCCAAGAAGATCCATCTCCTGTGTATGCTGAAGATGGTCCCACTCTGGTTTGCTCGCTTCATACTGTGGAATGGAATCGCGGACTTGATCTCCCCAATTTTCAGATACTCCCGCACCAGTACAACAGACGTGGTCAAGTCTTTCACTAGCAACCAAGACCTCCTCACTGTGTTTTCTCAAATATTTTATGGTGAGAGAAGAAATCTCTAGTCTGTTCCCAACTTATTTTGCATTGAGCTATTTTATTGAATTCTTCTGGAGAAGTTTCAACTAGAAACACTGTTTTCCTCCTGAAGGTGTCCCACCCAAAAACAACAGCTGCATGATTGACGCCCTCTTCCTGCACCACTCCAAGCATGGCGTATACTATCCTAAGGGTGGTGCTAGCGAGATCCCGTACCACATCATCCAGGTTTTGGAGCGGCATGGAGGAAAAGTCCTTGTCAATGCTCCTGTGTCCAGCATTCTAGTTGATAAAAAGCAAAATGCGTACGGTGAGTTTGTGATCTGATCGTGAGACAACAATGGATGTTCAACAGCCTCACTGGAACCCAAAATGGGTTCTACATTACATATTTGCATTCTCAAAATGCATTGTTTTTTGTCTGACCAGGAGTGGCTGTGAAGACAGGGGGTGAAGAAGATGTTGAAGTTCGGGCTCCTGTGATCATTTCAAATGTTGGCATGTTCACCACCTTCAAGAAGCTTCTGCCTCCAGAGATTCAGGCAAATCCGGGTAAGCAAGTGAACATCTTCAATATATGCGATACTATGAACAAAGTTATGAACTCAATCAATGGTCCATATGATGGTGTGTGGTAACACATGCATCTCTTGCCCTTTACAGAAGTCATGGACTATCTTCATACTTTGAAACCAGGCAAAGGATTTTTCCAGGTGTTTGCAGGCTTTAATGCCACTAAAGAAGAACTGGGCATCTCTTCAACCAACATGCGACTCTATAAGAGCAACAACATGGATGAAATGTAGGTGCACAAGTCCATCGTTCACTCTTCAATGCTGTTAAAGTACTTGTGTTAACAGTGATGAGAATAAAGCATATTATGTGCATATAATGTTTAGCATGGAAGAATACTTTGCTTCAGACAAGGAGGACGCACCTGATAACATCCCCATGATGTATACAGTGGGGCAAAAAAGTATTTAGTCAGCCACCAATTGTGCAAGTTCTCCCACTTAAAAAGATGAGAGAGGCCTGTAATTTTCATCATAGGTATACCTCAACTATGAGAGACAAAATGAGAAAAAAAAATCCAGAAAATCACATTGTAGGATTTTTAAAGAATTTATTTGCAAATTATGGTGGAAAATAAGTATTTGGTCAATAACAAAATTTCATCTCAATACTTTGTTATATACCCTTTGTTGGCAATGACAGACGTCAAACGTTTTCTGTAAGTCTTCACAAGGTTGTCACACACTGTTGCTGGTATTTTGGCCCATTCCTCAAGAGCAGTAATGTTTTGGGGCTGTCACTGGGCAACACGGATTTTCAACTCCCTCCAAAGATTTTCTATGGGGTGGCCCTCTGCAAAGGATCCCATCTCGCGCGCCCGTTTTCCAGGTTTCTTATATGACCTTTGCTCTATTCTTCAAAGTTTTATACAGTCAGGACAACAACTCAAAATTATTTGTCTGTATCTATTTGCATTTTTAGGACAGTCACGTATGGTGATCCACACTATGGTCAATCCAAGGTGGTTTGGACAGTGGAACAACATCAGAGAGACAGAAAGAGGACAAGAATATGAGAAATACAAGATGAGATTTGCTAATCATCTCTTTGACTGGGCTTGCGTCCACTTCCCCAAGCTGAAAGAGAAGGTCAATTTGTCATACTTCATATTTGAGTGCTGCTTAATAACAGAACTGTAATAACATTGAAAAGGCTGAAACGATTTAATAAATGATCTGAATTTATTTTCTTTTGTAGTTGGTGATGCTGCATGCAGTCACTCCCATAAACATGCATGGGCTGGGGGCCACATATGGGTCCATGCTGTCTGCAGAGCACAGTCTGGAGAGATTCCAGCCTCTGAACATTGCCATGACCAGGTGCAACACTCCTGTCAAGAACCTCTACCTGTCAGGTAATACTCCGAGTTTGAGTGACAAGAAGATATTACACGAGCACAGCAATGAAGGAAGTCCATTTCTTGGATTATTAAGAAATATTTGACAGCTAAATGCTGTGATCGATCAGTCAGAATTATCAGAAATATTCCAGAAAGCCTTTTAATATTGGATATTTAAGTGGCATATTATAGATAGTTGCATGTTTTGCCTGGTGAACTTATAAATGTATTTTCTTGTGTTTCATCTCAGGGCAAGATGTTTTCTCCGCTGGTTACTCTGGTGCTCTACATGGTGGTCTTCTCTGTGCTTCAAGTGTTGTGGATCACTGTCTGTATATTGACCTTCTGCTCCTCCAAAAGAAACTGAAGAGGAAGTCAGTCAAGAAACTAGAGTGAAAAAACGAAATAAAATATGTGAAAGGGCCGCTGAGATGAATATATCAGTCGTTAATCAATTTCATCCCCATTTTAATGTGGTTTTAATATGTAGAAACAGCAAAACAAACAGTGAGGGTTTGTCACTATCATTATCTACCTGTACAAACCCTTATATATAGGCTCAGTGATGTCAACTGCTAGTAAGGACTAAAATGGTACAAATCTTGATCAAAAACCATTTCTTTTGCTGTACATTTGTCCGATGTGCTGCACATTCTTTTGCCGCCTCTTTTAAAAATTTACAAATGACCAAACAGCCAGTTTTGCCATTTTGTGTGTAACATGTCATCAATGAATGGACTGTTGGCCTGACATCTAAGGCACCAATGACTTATCCAGCTGCAAACACATTATCTGAATACATTTTAATTAAATTGTATTTATACTCACAAATACCAAGCCAACAGAAATATTTGCAATGCAATATTCCCAGCACACAAAAGGAAATCTGCGCTGCAAATTCTCACAACACAAACAAAAACAGTTCGCACATGTAGAATCCTGCTTGTTGTGGTCTGTATACTTGCGCGTTTCTGTATTTGGTTGTCTTGTCAGAATTTGCAGAGAGTTTCTGCATTTGTGAGTATTTGCATCGCGTTTCTGTATTTGGTTGTGTTGTGAGAATTTGTAGCGCGTGTGTTGTCGAATTGATGAAGATGTTTTCTTAATTTGCAGGTAGGGATGTAACGATTCACTCAACTCACGATTCGATTCGATTCACGATTTTGATTTCACGATTCGATTTTCTCACGATTTTTTTATGAGAAAATGAAAAGGTTTTATTAGACTATTGCTGCGTTTCTTTTTGAAATTGAAATATAACAAACTACCGTATTGATCCGAATATAAGACAATGTTTTTTTCTTGGAAATACATCTGAAAAAACGCGGTCGTCTTATATTCAGGGTTTAGACTTTGACATGTCAATAATACACCCACAACAATAGGTGGCACCAAATACGCATACAACGAATGTGCCATGAAATACGTAAATGCGTGTTGTAAAAATCGCGAGTAAAAACAAAAGAAAAAGAAAAGCTTACAGCTGCATGACTTATGAACATTGCTTTAATATGCATTGTTCAGAGGCAAGATGAAAAGAAAATACCACCTAAAATTTTCTAAAGATAGTCAGTTCCCCTCAGAGATACATTCATATAAACTCCTACTCCAAATGTATCGCGATTTGTTTGGGATCTTAACCGATTTGAATCGTCACATATTTGAAATGATTTTCGACGAGCTCGCGGTTAATCGATACATCCTATTTGCAGGTGTTTTTTCATTTGCAGCGCGTTGAGCTCTCTCGGGTCTCCAATATCTCCGGGTCTCAGCCACCGTACGAAAAGCACGCTTTTTGCGCATGCGTAACTATCGAATGCTGTGCGTAAAAAGCTTGTAGATGCCAGCTAAAGCAAAATAGAAACTAAAGAGAATTAAAGTTGTATTTGTGTTTTCAACGGCATTATGAGATGCTGAGTCCAAAAGAAAGTGATTAACTGAATTCTATCGTCACGCCCTGGCGATTCATTTTGGAAAGTTGAGGTGAATCATTGGGAGTTACGCGAAATATTCCACAAATATTTATTTGTTTTCTTGTTTGTTTGTTGTTTCGTGGTAAGCGTTGTACAAAGAGATCGTACTCAAGTAAATAAATTGTAAGTTAACAGGCTGGGAGTCGACCCCAAAAAGAACCATTTTTGAGGCGTTGGCAATCGAGAGACTAGAGTCTTAGCGCCAGACTCTAATCTTTTGGTTTTGTTCAATAGTTGCACTTTGTTCGATAGTCCACTTTAGACATTCTACTAACTGTAAGTAACTTTGCAACTACATGTCAACTAACTCTCATTAGAGCATCTGTAGACTGTTAGTTTAAGGTTAGTAGAATAAGTTACCATACTTGCAAAGTAACTTATAGTCAGTAGAGCGTCTGTTAAGCGACCATCAAAACAAAGTGTTAGTAGATATTAAGCAGACAGTCTACTAATACTCTGACTGCTAGTTGACATGTAGTTGCAAAGTTAATAATAATATACTAATTCAGTATAAATGTTAGTATTGTGAGGGAGGCTTTGAACGCGACCTGTTTTTAAACAAGAGGTAAGTGAACACGAGCATCATGTATAAGCTACTGTGCTTATAAAGAATAGACCTATATCTATCTATATATATATATATATATATATATATATATATACACTGAAAAAAAAGATAAACACAACACTTTTGTTTTTGCCCCCATTTTTCATGAACTGAACTCATATCTAAGACTTTTTCCATTGTACATAAAAAGCCTATTTCTCAAATATTGTTCACAAATCTGTCTAAATCTGTGTTAGTGAGCACTTCTCCTTTGCTGAGATAATCCATCCACCTCACAGGTGTGGCATATCAAGATGCTGATTAGACAGCATGATTATTGCACTGGTGTGCCTTAGGCTGGCCACAATAAAAGGCCACTCTAAAATGTGCAGTTTTACTGTATTGTGTGTATATATATATATATATATATATATAAATTGCAAATTATCAATACCTTCAATCATAATCGCAAAATATACTTATTGCCTGTCTCTTGTGATATGCACTGTTTATTTTCTTCTTCCTTTTTATTTGCTTCTTTTTTTTTCTTCAGAATGGAGAAAATAATAGAAGTCTAGAGTTGACTTTGTCAGACTCTAATTGCCCTGCTCCCTACAAAGTGTTCACTTCAAATGCTCTGCCTGAAGTGAGTGGTGCATAGTGATGGTCACCCCTTCACTATGTTCCATTAGTGCTTAACAAACAAGCTACCTACCTTTGTAGGTATCTTTTCCAGCAATTCAATTCAACAACCAGTCAGTTTTATTCTTATGCTGCCTAGTCTGTGCAGTTGGTGGAAAGAAGTGTTTGTTTTTTTTGCTTTTTTTTTAAACTATGACTCCCCTGTAATCACTAAATTTTGCTTTGTGCTCTTTAAAGCTCACTTGAATTTGTTGTAGATCATTTGACATGTTATGGTGCTTTGGAATCCTGAATTACCTTTATGCACAAAACACTGCCACATTGACTGAATGGGCTGCAAGGCAATTCCTTTGCTTTCAAATACAGCCAGTGTATGTGGTTGTGCAGATGTCTTATCTCATATGTGATCGACCAGTGAATTGTAATGTTTGCCTTTACACATTTGCACATTTGGATGATGAAACGCGCAACATTAACACATTAATATATTTAAAGTAAATCAATGATCTGATTTATCACCTATACAACTTACAATAATTGATCCAAGTGCAGATGCAGTGACATTAAAGAGATTGCATGGGTTAATGTTTGTTGTTTGACTGTCTGCAACTCTCTCAGAGGAAGTTGATTAGAAAGGAATCGGTTCTCCAAATCATACGACAAGTCAAGCTGATTTGAATACTTCACCAGATAATAATAATAATAATAAGAAGAAGAAAAATACATGCATTCCCACATTTATGCAAAACAAGAGTTAATCATTATGAGTCAAGTCAAGTCACCTTTATTTATATAGCGCTTTTAACAATACAGATTGTGACAAAGCAACTGAACAGCATTAATTACGAAAATAGTGTCAATGCAAAATGACAATAGTAAACACTCATTTTTCAGTTAAAGACAGTTCATCATTGAATTCAGTGATGTCAACATCCAGCTCAGTTTAAATAATATCTTTGCAATCATGTCAACGATAACGCTGGAAATGAAGTGTCCCCAACTAAGCAAGCCAGAGGCGACAGCGGCAAGGAACCAAATTATGAGCAACTAAAGCAATCAGTCTGTTAAACTGTCAGGTCAAACCAATCATAGTGAAGCAAGTTAATTCTCTCCACCCACAATTTAGACTAATAAATAAGGCCTTAACTCACTCACCAACACTAAACTCTTGGCTTTCATCCCTGGGAAGTGCAGCTCCTTGAGTTTTCAACTCCTCATTAAAGGTTACTCTCCCAGCAGTCATTCCTGAAACTGAAAACACCAGCTGATCTTTTTCTAGCAATTGAAGATGGGGTGGATTCTGCTTTTCTTGGAATGGCTTGTGGATTGGGCTCGTGGCACATACTGGTATCTGTTTGGCAGGAGAAGTGGACTGTGCAAGGGGACCATCAGCCCTCTTGGCCCACTAGTTGTAGACCAAAACAAAAAGGACAGACTTCTTCGGAAAGGTACGTAAGCTTTAGTTTGCGAGTAGTGTGCAAGTCAATACTTCACAAATCTGTTCTGGTGACCCCCAACCAGTGCACATTTTGCATGTCTAGCTCATAGGCTGCACCCAGTTCATGTCTTGCAATCTCTACTAATCAGCTGATGAGTTGAATCAGGTGTGTTAAATGAGGGAGACATACAAAATATGCAGTGGTTGGGCATCCCCAGACAATGGATGCCCTCTTCCTGCACCACTCCAAGCGTGGTGTGTACTATCCAAAGGGTGGTGCCAGTGAGATCCCATACCACGTCATCCAGGTTTTGGAGAAGCATGGCGGGAGAGTCCTTGTAAATGCGCCTGTGTCCAGCATTCTAGCTGATGGAAAACAAAGTGCATATGGTGAGTTACTGGGCTTGTCCAAATACCCACACTTGCGGTCTTGGCCACTTGATTATGTACACTCAACAGGAAGTGTGCATGCAAGACTGTCCCAGGTCTTAATCATCAAAGCGCAGTGCCCTTAATGCGTACTAAATCCACACTTAAACCACTTTGGGGCGTATTTTAAGAAAGTGTATCCCATGTGTCTTGTTCTGGAAAAGAATTGTGAGTTTTTGCAGAGATGTCATGTTCGATTGCATATAATTTGGTAGTAGAAGAACGTGTTCCAAGTTATGTGCAAAGATGTGTATTTTGTACTAGATTTGCAACTGCTTATCACTAAATGAGAAGCGTGACCATCTAAATTAAGCCGTTGTCTGTTATAGGGACTACCGAACTTTATTATAACATGCAAACTACTGTAAGTCGAAGCTCAACTTTATATCTAATATCTACACACTTGTGGTCTTCATGCTCACTTGTGTTGAATGCAGGAAATGTGTCCTGTCAAGTGCAAAGACCACAAGTGTGGGTGTTTGGACAGGCCCACAGTATATGTATACGGAGATTGTGTTGTCTATTACATATTGGGGCATCCAGTACCTGCAGATGCATAAAACAAGGGTTATCATATCCGTATTCTCTTTGACCAGGAGTGACCGTGAAGGCCGGAGGTAAAGATGTTGAAGTTCTGGCTCCTGTGACTATTTCTAACGCTGGAGTGTTCACCACCTTCAAGAAGCTTCTGCCTCCAGAGTTTCAGGCAAATCCGGGTAAGTGTACGAATGTTTTCAGTACACTGCAAAATCCCCAGCATTAAATCAACTCCGCTCGGAGTACATTGTCCCAATCTACAGAGTGTTAAAGTAACACTGAAGCTGAGTTACCACTGTTGTGGCTTCTGTGGTAAGTTTTCATGCTTAAAAGCATGAACAGTAGTTGTTCATCTTCAACCCCGTTAACAGCGGGTTTTCTTTACTAATGCTCAATCATTGCTTAATTATCCCATTAACTTTAACTCGGCTTCAGTGTTACTTTAACACTCTGTAGATTGGGACAATATGTACTCTGAGCAGAGTTGACTTAACTCTGGGGATTTTGCTGTGTACCTTGTACTGCTTCTTGCTATAACTTAATGTGACTTGATAACATGATGTGCTGTATTACTGGGTAGATTTTTCTGGGGTAATGTGTACATCTGCTTTTCCCAGAGGTCCAAGGTTATCTTCATACTCTGAAACCAGGCAAAGGATTTTTCCAGGTGTTTGCAGGCTTTAATGCAACTATGGAAGAACTGGGCATCTCTTCAACTAACATCCGCCTTTATAAGAGCAACAACATGGATGAGATGTAGGTGCACAAGTCCATTAATCACTCTTTTCTCCATTTAAACATACTGTAAGTCTACATTCTCTTTAGCAATTTAATTTGATTGCTTTAGGATGGAAGAGTACTTCGATTCAGACAAGGACATCGCACCTGACAACATCCCCATGATGTACGTTTCCTTCCCCTCTGCTAAGGATCCCACTTCATGCACTCGTTTCCCAGGTTAAATTTCTCGCACTATTGTACATCCAAAACAATGTAAACAAACCAACTATGTCTCAGTGGGTGGCTTGTGTTTTAGGGCAGTCACGTATGGTGATCCACACTATGGTCAATCCAAAGTGGTTTGAACAGTGGCACAATGTCAGTGAGCCTGAAAGGGGTGAAGAGTATGAGAAATACAAGATGAGATTTGCTAATCATCTCTTTGACTGGGCTTGTGTCCACTTCCCCAAGCTGAAAGAGAAGGTAAACTTTGGTTATGGGTGCTGTTGTTTCCTTCCCCTCTGCTAAGGATCCCACTTCATGCACTCGTTTCCCAGGTTAAATTTCTCGCACTATTGTACATCCAAAACAATGTAAACAAACCAACTAAAGTGTCTCAGTGGGTGGCTTGTGTTTTAGGGCAGTCACGTATGGTGATCCACACTATGGTCAATCCAAAGTGGTTTGAACAGTGGCACAATGTCAGTGAGCCTGAAAGGGGTGAAGAGTATGAGAAATACAAGAGGAGATTTGCTAATCATCTCTTTGACTGGGCTTGTGTCCACTTCCCCAAGCTGAAAGAGAAGGTAAACTTTGGTTATGGGTGCTGTACTGTAGTAAAGTTACAGAAGTGTTGTGGCTTAAGTGGTCATTTTGTGGCTTTTGTAGTTGGCAATGTTGCATGCAGTCACTCCCATTAACATGCATGGGCTGAGGGCCACATATGGGTCCATGCTGTCTGCAGAGCACAGTCTGGAGAGATACCAGCCTCTGAACATTGCCATGACCAGGTGCAACACTCCTGTCAAGAACCTCTACCTGTCAGGTATTACTCCATTACAAGTTTCAAAGGATGTGGTATGAATATTAAATTTCCTATATGAAGTTGTTTTCACCTCAGGGCAAGATGTTTTCTCTGGTGGTTACTCTGGCGCGCTACATGGTGGACTTCTCTGTGCTTCAACTGTTATGGATCACTGTCTGTATATTGACCTCCTGCTCCAGCAAAAGAAACTGAAGAGGAAGGTGGTCAAGAAAGTAGAGTGAGAATATGTGGTGTAATATTTGTACTCTTGATGCTATTCTCTTGTGGTTTTGCTGCACATTTGTTCCCTGCAACTCTGAATAAAGATGTGAATAATGTGGTACTGGTATTCATAGTTGAATATGCATCTTCATGCTGCCAGTACTAGGTGTCTAGATTTATGCAGTCAGACTTGACAACACAAGTGGTTGTTGTACTGGAAACTTCAATGTGTCCCAGAAGTGACTTTAGAGGTAATTTGGTAAACTTTAGCATATCCAGTGAGTTGCAGCACTTCAAGATACCAGGTGGATGTATGCCCTTCACCTGAACTCTTCAATTTGACTCTGACTTACTGGTTGGTTAACTGTTTATGGTTTGTCACTAGATGGCAGCATTATAGTGCTGCTTCATACACTTTAAGAATTTAGCCCACAACCGGACACCACAGTGCTGGTTATGTTGCATTAGCAAAAAGTTACTTCATACACAATATTAGCACGATTAAACTGATGCAGTGAGACGATTGCACTCATCACTGCTTTTTTCATCAGGAAATGTTTTTAAAACTGATTTTCACATGTGGGATTTGGTTTACAGTTGTGGAGCTGGAAGCCGGTTTTGCTGCACATTTGTTCCCTGCAACTCTGAATAAAGATGTGAATGTGGTACTGGTTTTCATAGTTGAATATGCATCTTCATGCTGCCAGTACTAGGTGTCTAGATTTATGCAGTCAGACTTGACAACACAAGTGGTTGTTGTACTGGAAACTTCAATGTGTCCCAGAAGTGACTTTAGAGGCATCAGTAATTTGGCAAACTTTAGCATATCCAGTGAGTTGCAGCACTTCAAGATACCAGGTGGATGTATGCCCTTCACCTGAACTCTTCAATTTGACTCTGACTTACTGGTTGGTTAACTGTTTATGGTTTGTCACTAGATGGCAGCATTATAGTGCTGCTTCATACACTTTAAGAATTTAGCCCACAACCGGACACCACAGTGCTGGTTAAGTTGCATTAGCAAAAAGTTACTTCATACACAATATTAGCACGATTAAACTGATGCAGTGAGACGATTGCACTCATCACTGCTTTTTCATCAGGAAATGTTTTTAAAACTGATTTTCACATGTGGGATTTGGTTTACAGTTGTGGAGCTGGAAGCTAGAGAAAATGTCACAGATGTGCGGTTTAAACCAAGTGGTCTGAAACTGCTGTGTAAAATGTTTTGTTAGTAGTTTGCTCTCAAGAGGGAATCGCACTGCTTTGACATGCATTAGCCAGAGAAGAAATATCTGGGATTTGAGTGGTTTTGGACCAAATAAATGGTCTTTAGGTTTGGCTGTGCCTTTTTCTGTTATGACTTTAACACTTGTGCTTGGTAGTTTTCCCAAGTCAACCCGTAGTCATTTGTGTCTGGCCCCTTTTGATTTAATTTGCCAGTTACTTTGAATAAACTAAGGATATATATTTGTTTTCAAGGAATATCCATGATCCTATCTGAAAGGATACTCCTCTTCCTTTTAGGTCTGGTGAACCTAAAGACTTGTTCCTGAGTCTCTAATTCAGTTACTTTCATATGAACCGCACCACAATTATAAAAGCCAGACACATAAAAGCCACACTTGCATGGAGTATGACTGTTGATCAAATGCTAGTTTGCTACGGTTTAAATACTCTTTAGTGTACAAATTACAGTCAGGGATTTTTACTTATGCCGATTGTGTTTAGGATTCAAAGATGTTAATTTGTGAAGATTATGAAAATTTTTATTTTTTGGTCAGCCTTCATTTCTTGCCACCTTTGTTCCGTGTGTGGAGTACGGATCACTGCAGTAGTGTGTGAGTGCAGCAGCAGGATGGTGTGCAGGGACGAACAGAGCTATTCAAAGCTGCTGTATAAATAGCCCAAGTGTATAAATGGTGACTCCGACAGTATTAGATGCTGCGGCTAGCTCCCAGCAGAAAGCGTTTGCTGTAAGCAAGCATGCAATCCATTTCAGAGGTGAATGGAGTCTTCTGCATAAATCCAATTTTAATATTTAATAAAAACACTGCAGTATAACTGAACGTTATTATTCATGCTCTTTATTACCAGGATTGGCTTCTGCTTGTATATCAGAAGCCACGTGGATACCAGTCGTGAATATTCGGTAAAAATTTGGGCTCTGATTTTGCCTGTTCTATGCAGATGGTGGCTGTTCCCTGAAGCTACTGAAGGGGATATAAATAGCAGCAGTTTCTGCCTCATCCCTCAGTGTGTCTCTCTCCACACACACACACCCATGTACACATAATACAAACACACTTCGAGTGTGTCTCTCTGTTTCCTTCATACATATTCTCTCCTCTTGCTCATCAGTTTGACTTCTAGCTTAAAATATCCTTTCTTCACTGCGTCTTGCCCTCTCAATCACTTCCCATAGGAATGACAAATCACAACGGAGATTGTTTCTCTTATTTGTTTCACCTAGACATATTTGAGAATAAATGGAGAGCCAAAGGCCACACAAGGTAATGCAGGTGTTTTTTTTTTTTTAATGTTAAATACTTTCTCATCCTAATTTATAAAATATGATTGCACCCTACTAAGTAAACACTTTGTCTCTGTGGTGCTATCAACAGATTGCTCTGTTTGTCTGAACATCCCAAAAAGCCCAACACAGCATCATCATTGGTGAGTGTGGAAAAGGACTGTTTACCCAGCCTAAAGCAGTGTTTGGGAGACCTGTTTTATTATTTTTGCAATAATGTGAAATAAAGTTTCTTTATTGGTGTCTGTGTTTCCATGAAGAAACATTAACATCCATAGAACATTTTCATTGCACAAAAGATTCTATAAAGTGGAAAAAGTTCTTCAGATTATTAAAATGTCCTTCATACTAAGAAACAAATGGTTATTTTACTTTTCATTGAAAGATTCTTTGAAGAACCAAAAATTGTTCATCTATGGCAGTGAAGACCCTTTATATATATGTGTGTGAGTGTGTATATATATATAGCCCCACATTTTTTTGTGATTTAGAATAGAAAAAAAAATCGAATTTTTATTTGGTATAGAAATCTTGACTCCCATAGATGTGGATCTCAGACATTGACCGGAAAAGCTACTTTAAAGTCTCTCTGTCAATACAACACACAGATGCTGGATTGATCTGTTGATATGTGCACAGGCACTACAGGATCTGGCCGAAACGCTTCTATAGTGCATCTTTTGTCCTTTATTTCATTAGAATTGATGTGCAGTTTATGAACTTCTTTTCCTCCATATTGGAGAATGCATAGACGCTTGACTTGCATCTTGGCATGAGGCACAGTCTACTTCAAAAGCTTTCAGTTTGCTGTTTTGCCATTTAGAGAAATAATTTCACATATGAAGAGGAGTCCAAATGTCTGAGTATCTAATGAAGATGCTTCTATTTTGCATTTTGCATCAAATTTAACAGTCTTCCATGACAAATTATTCTATCAGCCAGAGGGTTTGAGTAAAATGTTATCTGATTACTATCTATCTATCTATCTATCTATCTATCTATCTATCTATCTATCTATCTATCATTCTATCTATCTATCGTTCTATCTATCGTTCTATTTTTCTATCATTCTTTTGTACAGATGGCCTGTGACCTGTTCAGGCAAGGCTTTGCCAAGTACACATTCAAAGTTTGACTTGACTAACTTATAGTTAACTTACTCGCACATGATTTGAATTCAGCTCAAATCATATGTTGTATGAGGGCTGTGATTAAAACCTAACACTCACAGAGTGAAAACTTTCTCAGCTGAAATTTGGATCCAACTGTTCTACATTTTGAGATAATTGACAACATTTCACTGTTCATTCCACCCCCTGCTGGGCTTATTATTCTCAGCTTCCAGAATGATTTAGCACAAGCCTGCCTACTTGTTTTGAATTGAACAGGAATAGAAATGCATGTAGGATACTGGTGTGTGCAGCTATCATTATTTTTCTTTAACAGTGAATCAAGGCAGTGACTTATATAACATCATTTCTCTTTTAGTCTTTTTGTTATGTCACATCAATTCATATTAGGTTATTTTAAACAGTACAGTATCAAGACAAACTAAATTCAGCATGTGAAAACTGTCTGTTTCTTTAGAAATGATAGTAATACATGTGCATTATCTACAGTTTAGAAGTTTTCAAGAATTCTTCATGCTTGTGAAACTTATTTTCCATATTGTTGATGGTTTAGGATATTGCGTTATGTATGGCATGTTTTTACTGCAGTGGCATATTTAGAATAGAATGTGAATTTGATTCAAGTTCATTATATTTTTTCCTCATCATTCATGAACAAATTGTACGAGTTGCAAAGAAAGGAAAATATAAAAAAGATCAACTTTAGATGAAGAAAAATGTAGAAAGAATTGATTCACATCTAATTACAGTATGTATTTGTTTATTTTGAACCAATTATTTCTATATATTCAATATTATCTACAAATATTGTTAGTCCATTGTTAATACCTAACACTATTTTTTCTTTTTGAGAAGTTCATATTAAAAGATTAGTTCACCCAAAAACAAAAAAAGTACTCACCCTCAGGCCAAGATGTAGTTTGTTTCTTCATCTGAATAGATTTGGAGAAATTTAGCATTACATCACTTGCTCACCAATGGATCCTCCGCAGTGAATGGGTGCCGTCAGAATGAGAGTATAAATAGCTGATAAAACATCCCAATAATCCAGGACTCCAGTCCATCAATTAACATCTTGTGAAGTGAAAAGCTTTGTTTGTGTAAGAAACAAATCCCTCGGCTCATTAAGTTGTTTTTTAACTTCAAACTGTTGCATCTAGCTAAAATCCTTTCTCCAGTGAAAAAGTTGCAAGTAAGTCTGAATCAGGAGAGAAATATGCAAAGATCAACCCACATGAAAAAAATACTATAGTAATTTATAGTAAATACTATAGTGTTTTTAACCATACTATAGTAAAGTACTTGAATTAATTTGTTGTGATAATTCTATAGTTGCTGTGGTAATAATATAAACACATTACCCAATGCTGTACTAAGTTTTCTATAACTATAGGCTATATTATTATACTACAATACACAACAGTTTACTGTAGTAAAAACTAAAGTATACTACA